AACAGAGGTAAATTAACTCAAAACTGAGTTCCTGTACTTTTTGCGATTTATGCGTGAACTAAACTCAAATTTGGGTGTTCTCATTCGCCGTGTAGTGCTGACTCAGGACAAAAAAAACTTTGCATGCGACGAGGGACCGAAGGACAACAATTTACATCGTGATGAAGTTTGATTCTAATGTAACGTTAGGTTCTGTTGTCATTGGATGTATTCTGATGTTTTTGCGTGCAACAAATTACATCGTGATGAAGTTTAATTCTAATGTAACGTTAGGTTCTGTTGTAATTGGATGTATTCTGATGTTTTATGCGTGCAACAAATTACATCGTGATGAAGTTTGATTCTTATGTAACGTTTGGTTCTGTTGTCATTGGATGTATTCTGATGTCAAATTTTACATCGTCAAGACGTTTGATTCTGATGTAACGTTTGAGGCTAATGTATTTTTATGTACTTGGATGTCACACTGAAGTCTGAATACATTAAGGGTACAGCAATACACATTAAAATTTAATGTATTGAAGATGTCTGCTGATGTTTCCTACATTACAATTTCTATTCGGGGAGTTATAACATGTTGTAGCGCTATCTTGATGGTGATTTCTGTGTTGCAATTATTTGACAACCGTTATAACATGTTATAACCATAGAGGTAACTCTAAGACCACTGGGTCCCGAAGAAAATCATTATTATTTTTGGCTCACTCAGTACCAGAACAACGGTCCCAAGCAGTCCCAAGCTATTTCACTCACCCCTGCATGTTCTGCATGAATCCACACACCCCTGATGTTATCTGTCAAACTTTCATAGAGAATCAAAACAAACATAGTGTAGTAATAGAATTTCAACTAGAATAGGCTACGTTAATCGTTTGCTTGGGACCAATAGGCTACTAAAGTGGTGAGCCAATTTAAAATCGTTAGTTTCGTATTGATTGTTGTTATAACTGCTCAGTCTGGACAGCGCTTTATGCCTTGTTCAGACTACAGAGTTATAACAACAATCAATACGAAACTAACGATTTTAAATTGGCTCACCACTTTAGTAGCCTATTGGTCCCAAGCAAACAATTAACGTACCCTATTCTAGTTGAAATTCTATTACTACACTATGTTTGTTTTGATTCGCTATGAAAGTTTGACAGATAACATCAGGGGTGTGTGGATTCATGCAGAACATGCAGGGGTGAGTGAAATAGCTTGGGATTGCTTGGGACCGTTGTTCTGGTACTGAGTGAGCCAAAAATAATAATGATTTTCTTCGGGACCCAGTGGTCTTAGAGTTACCTCTATGGTTATAACATGTTCTAGCGCTATCTTGATGGTGGTTTCTGTGTTGCAACTATTTGACAACCGTTATAACATGTTATAACCAAAGATAAATACTAAGATGAAACTGTCGGAAGAAAAACTTTCTATTTGAGTGTCCTCTTTCACGGTCCCTTTCATCCAATGATTACCCTCCGCATTCAATGTAATTTTGTGGTTTTGCCCCCTCGGTAGAGATTTTGCGCTCATTTTGATCAAAACAAACACACCAAAATCAGAGGTGTCCCATTTTTTAATTACTCGATTAACAACTAATCGATTTTTTTTTGTTCGCTGTGCTGACATTTTTCCACCAATGAGAGTGCAGCACATGTTTGAAACGATCGGTGATGATCCTCTGGAGAAGTTAATGCTTATATCGGCATGATATTTATAACCGATTACAAATATTTTACTTTTCGGTGCGTTAATCGATTAATCGATAATTCGAATGAAAATTGGCCATCACTAGATGAATGTGAAACGTCATTTCAAATATATGGACCGTACATAAATAATGATACAATTTGAAAGGGACCGGGGCCCATCACAAATTACGTCCACACGGTAACTGAAATAAACACGAGTGTTCACCGGTTGTTATAACTCTCCAGTCTGAACAAGGCATTAGAGTTACCTCTATGATATTATTGTTTTCGTTCAAACCGCATTCATACAAACATTTGATTTTTGTATGGAAAAACGGTTCGGACGAAAACGAGAATATGAGTGATAGAAATGTTTGGTACCGAGCTAGGGGAAGGACAGCTCCAAGTATCGGCATCAATACCGGTGATGGAAATATTAAATATTTTAATATGTATGATATTTGCAAATCTTATACTTAGTCTGACAGTTGTTTGTTTGTGTTTGACTATGTTTGGTTTTAAGTGTACATTTGACATTCGTTTAATCAAAAATGGATTTCACACGAGAGGCAAGTCTTTCCTTGATGATCTTGCTGGCCACCGCCACCGAAATCCTCTCCTTGTTCTAATAACATTCGACCGCACTTCCGTTCCCAGAAAATAGCCATTAATTTCCACGTCTGCGAATCAATGTACTGTCGTTCGATGGAACGGGAATCGACTGACTACGCCGTCCCTGTAAACGGAGTCCCAGAGTGATGGTTCCGTGGTCGTATTACTCTAGATTCGCCATGAGCCTGTAACCTGGAGAGATTTGCTGCTGGGGGAACGTGCAGTGTCGTTTTTATCATTAAAATGCCGAAAACGATCAGAGCTATCGAAAACGAAAATCTAGGCAAAAATGATGACCAACAGAAAGCTGCAGTAAACATAAACAACAACCGTAAAACGTAATTGAATGTATGCGTTAAAGTTACACTGTTATTTTTTTGCTTTGTAGCTTTCCGCTTGACAGTTAATATCATTAATATTTATACTAAAATCTATAATAACTACCATTTTGTGCAATTTTTACACCAAATATTACTTCAGATCAAGTTGTACTTCCTCTAGGTACCGAGCAGGTTTTTGATATCCAAATTTTTTGAGAAATCTTTTGTAAAAAAACAAACGCATTCCTGATGTTGAGGTTTTGTTTCGAGCTGCAAATATAGGGATTTTTTTTCCAGATAATTGTTGCGCTTACTTGTTTATGTAACATTGTTTTCAAGAGCAAATTGATTCTAGAATAGAGTTTTTTTTTGGAAAATTGCAGTAAGGTATCAAGCATACGAAGGGCAAAATTGTATTTTTTTTATTGCAGAACTGAGCAGAGAACTGACATTTCATGATTGTTCGAGTATAAAAGGTGTATTCGATAAAAATGGCACCCCGAAAAAGTCCAAGGTGTCAGTTGTTTTTGTGCCAAAAACCTTGAAGCGTGCTGGGTTACATGTTTACAAGGTGCAAAAAGCCCCAAACCCTAAGTAAAAGCAAAACATCACTGCGAAAACCCGCACCCGGAAACTTTACACTAAGTTACTCACTATATCGTGTTGCATCGTGATGGATGACGAAACTTACGTCAAGGCCAACTTCCGTCATCTTCCTGTGCAAGAATATTTTGTTAGCAAGTCTAAGTTCGATGTTCCGGAGGATGTTCGAAAGAAGAAATTATCGAAATTTGCAAATAAGTTCCTGATCTAGGCAGGCGATTTGCAGATGTGGTGAAATAAGCGATCCCTTCATCACTACCGGAACAATCAACGGTGAGATTTACACGAAAAAGTGCCTTAAGAAGCGTCTCTTACCATTCATAAGGAAGTACAAATGATCAACTCTGTTTTGGCCTGATCTAGAAACGTTCACGAAACGAAAATTCATTATTTGATTCTTGTGTTTCACTTCTACATTTTTGCCAAAACATCAGCCTTATACATTCCTTAAGACAAACCACATAGGTCCTATAAGAATGCATAAAAGGTATGTGTGGTCGCTTATACATTTCATTTGACACATGATCTTCTTTAACTTTTTGCAAGGCGTCTGCTTATTAGTTGACTTATACATTTTATGAATAATCAGCAATAGAAATTTGCCAAAAAGAATAAGGAGATTTTTATCCGTGTATTGGAGTGGTATCGAGCCAATGCAGTCAATTTTGTGCCGAAAGATATGAACCCACCAAATTCACCGGAACTTCACCCAATTGAAAATTCTGGGCAATTATGAAGACGGAACTTCGCAAACATCCCATTGAAGAAAATTTTAGTAAAAATATCAAACACTTTGGGAAAATCGGTTGTACAAAATTTGATGGGTGGAGTGAAAAGGAAGGTGCGGGCATTTGGGATGGGAGACGAAATTGAATAAAACCAATTTTGTAAATCATAGCTCATTATAGTAGTTTTTCATTTCCTGAAAATTTCAAGAAAATCAGTTAATTGGTTTAATTTTGGTGAGTAAATATGTGTGCGCCATTTTGATCGAATACACCCTTTATCAGCTCAATCGGTTGGAAAACAGTCGAGAAATAGCGGTGGGTGGATGGCACCACCCACCATGCTCGTCGAGGGTTTTGTGAACGTAAACAATTTTTGAGAGATTTTAGACCCACGCCACCTTCCTTTTAGGGACGGGACCTTATCAAAATTTTCCCGTATGTGCTCAATGATTACTGAATTTTGGACCGGTCTCAAGACGCTTGACGGTAGCGCAGGTCATCCTAGCGTTATTCCGAGAGCAAAATTCCCGCAACAACCAACACTCTTTCGCCATGCTCTGCTCTCTGTTGTCAATTTCAGAGAAGCCAAATAATCGTCGTTCAGCTCGGATTGTGCATGCTGCTTCTATACGGCTTGTAATTTTTCCGACCTTCCCTTCCTATCGCTTTTCAGTGGACGATTTCCCTCCTTGCGAAATTCCGTCAGTTCGCTAGGTTGGTTGGTGCTCACAGTTTTCCTCCACACAGACACAGCATTTGTGTGCTCACGTGCTCGTCACACGCTGCTGGGAGCAACAAAGAGGGGTTGCTATTTTGCTGGGAAATGTTGTTTCTCCATCCCGCTTTTCCGTACATTGTTTTCATCGGAAGGGACACATGCGAAAACATGCGTTCGCATCAATACCAGTGCAAGCATCAGGCTCACAGGACATCGGAGCGTAAGAGAGTATACATCCTGGAGCGAATTTTCGCCTGCAAGTGCTGCTCCACGGTAGGCATCCTATGTGGTGAACTCTCTTTGCTGCGGCTAAAACAATCCGCCTGGCTAGCTCAGTTGTGATGCGGGTTGCAAAGACGTTAGGCGCGTGGAGATCCTGTTTACGGTGTTGTGTGGTAAATGTATTTTCAGGATGTGATTTTTTTTAAGTGCACCTTGGAAGAAGGCTATTTCCGCAAGATATTCTAGGTTGGCTGCGGTACGAGTTGGAAAATGGAGCTTTCAATTTGCCTATGTTGCAGGCGATTATCTTTAATTATTATTATCCTCAGATTAATTGATTATGGTCGTGTTCGTGCCACGAGTGAGGGCCTGATGCTTACCGTCATGGAATATGAAGCAGTGTGTATAAACGTCTCCTTGTGTACGAGTATGTGATTCATTCTATAAGCAAGGAAAACAACTGAAGATAGAAAAATGCCTAAAGTGAAATCATGTGATTGCCACTTGAGCAAAGTTCTGCATTTTTTGTCACTATCGTAGCACATGCCAAGTAATTCGAAGGAAAAGCATCCACTCTACGGCGGAATGATAAGTTTGCTTTTCCTCGGACCTGAGAGGGTCAAAGTTTTTCACGACACGAGTGACGCAGTGAAATGAATTTTCTCTTCGCACATCTGTGATGCCGTTGCTTCCGAGATTGTATTGGTGTCCGTATGTGCGAGTGTGTGCAGTGAAGACCTTCGAAACATACGCACTCCGAAATGACCTGGAGATTCTGCTGCGGAGGCAAATACGGACGTCTGCGTGCTCTTGGAGGCTTGCCTGGAGGAGCCTCCAAAATTAGACCAGACGCTAATTGGAATGAAATTTGTGATCCAAAGCGAGGAAAATCGATCAAAAATCTGTAAATTGGGTCTTCGATGCAATACTGGCAACGATGATACATCGCAAATCGATCGTAAGTGGTGAAAACGAATCAAATGCAAAGCGTACTTTGGATGATTGGAATAGACGAAAAAAAAGGTATCACAAATAGAACTCTTCTTCCATAGAATGACAACCTCTAGGGAATTATGCCAAAAATGTTCATTCGTAGCGAGAAACTTTAGAATGATGCCTTCGCCAAAAATGGCTCTATGGTGCCTGTATGGAAATATGTGTATGTATATACAAGTTGGCACAACCAGCAGCGAGCAGCAGCGTGTGGCTTGCTGAATGAAAAAAGGATTAGCAAAAAAAAAAGGACTAACCTAGATTTGGTCGTTCCTCTCCGATTTATACCGCGGCCACCATCATCGTGGGAAAAGTGTTGCTTTATATATGTGGGTTTTGGTGTGTTAATTTTTTTCTAGGATTTTGATCTAATTTTGTTTTTAGATGTTTGAAATGATTGTGTACAGTCAAGTTCCACTTATCTGAACAGCATTATTGATATGAACAATTTTTTATTGGATGATTTAGGGTTAAATCCTGCCCTGAAGGATGCGTTTTTCTGAAGTAAACAATCTCTGCTTTCACGGTAAATCCTTTAAAAGAAATAAGTTTGCTGAGTATGGGTAGGCCTGCCCTAGAACATATTTAGGGGCCTACAAAAAGCTTTGGAACTACATTTGGATAGCGGTTCTAAAAAGATATTTTGCATAGTGAACTTAGCAGACCTTATTAAATGCTAGCTGGATATGCTTTGCTCGGAAAAATTTGATGCTAACTCACTTCTCACTACTCAGTTGGACACTTATCACGCACTTACTTCTCACGCCCTGGCGTATAATTCACTTACCTACACTCAAGTGCCACGCACAATGGTTCAGTTCCGTTGCGTTCGAGTTATTTTACATACGAGAAAATAATAAAAAAAAAAGTAAAGGGTTGTGTCCTAGACACGACCGCAGTATGACGTAGAACCACACAAAATTGATGTTTTTCATGCATTTTTGACTATTATACTTTATCTTAAAATTTTCAAGTATTTCAATGTTTCGGTTATGGTTGACTCAAAACAATTTACACATTTTCTTTACAAATATCCATGTGAAATTCCACATGATTTTCATTTGACCACACATAAACAGAGTTCACTCAGAAGTACACATGAAATTTACACGCAAATGAATAGTATGTGTGGTCACGCATGGTTTTTAAATGTACATATTTTAAGTAGGGGAATTTACGTATTCTCGGCAACCTAAGCAGCGACCTTCTTTCTATAGCCTTTTTCTCTGAGGAACGCACACATATACAGTATTGGTTTGTTTACAATCTTTTGCTGCCAGCTGCTCTAACAATTTCAGTCGAAAGAATTGTCAAAAACTGTTTTGAAACGCTTTTAAAAAGCTCCAATCTTCTCTAGTGAGAGCGAGTATTGTCGGCAACCGTTCCATTTGAACTGCATGTAAATCTGCTGTTCTATTATCGGCAACTCGAAATCAGCTACAATTTGTAGTGTGTGTGTTTCATTTCAAGAAAACCTTGCTATATTGCTTTTTCTCAGTGGTAAAAATATAGTCAAATTGAAGCTGAAAGCATAAATAATCGTTTGCATGCATTCAGCGAAGTGTAAGAAAATCCAGTGAAAATAGTGTTTCAATTTGGGTTGCCGAAAATAGTCTGGCAAGCCGAAGCCGTCATTTCCACTATGTGGCCGACACATAGATATTGATTTGTTAGGAGCGGTATTTGAGGGGTGGGGGGGGGGGGGTTAGGAAAGGTTGTTGAGGGGTGAGGGGGGGTAGGAAAGGTTGTTGATGAGTGGGAGTTAGGTTAGGAAAGGTTGTTGATGAGTGGTGGTGGGGGGTTAGGAGAGGTCGTTGAGGGAGGGGAGAGATTGTTGTGAAGGGGGGAGGGGAAGAGATTGTTGTGAAGGGGGGAGAGGGAGAGGTTGTTGTGAAAGGGGGAGGGGGTTTACGTCATTATTGTGGTCACGCTGTGATCCACCTTAAGTCGCTGATTTGGTCCTGATTACTGCAGGACCAAGCGCCACGCCGTCCGAAGCGACAATGAGCAAAAGCATGACAGCAGCGCTCTTTTATATCTTTTCAGGTTCAGAACCTGATAGGATTTCCCGCAGTTTTTTATGAATGGGGCGGAGCAGAAAGTTTCTTTTGTACAGAATATGTAAAATAGGATGGACTTTGGATGTTAATATAATTGCACATGTAGAGGCACCAGATATGTTTTACCGTCAGTTATTCCAAACGTTTATTCGCGTCGTCAGTAGTGTCGGTCGCATCGTGTGATGGGAAGACAGCGCTCCCGGAGCAGGCTCCGTGAGAAAGCGGAAAAGAACAGTGGTGAGTGTAGCACGAGTGTACCTATTTCAAATAGGTACGCTACTCTTCCCACCGATGTTGGGAATACCACCTCCGCCACGGTGAAGCGATCCAAGAAGAGGAAGAAAAACCAAGGCCAGTCCGATGGTACGAGTGGACGTGATGACGTCACAGCAACGAACGCCAGCGACATCGGTGATTTCGGCGACACCATCGACAACGAAAATTCTGCCGGCCCGAGTGCGGCAAAAGTGAAGCTACCTCCATTGGTAGTAAAAAATGCTCATCTTAATGAGCTCATCGCGGACCTAGCGACGCTGGGCGTTAAAGCCGAATACAAGTTGGGCAGAGTCGGCACCAAGGTAGTGCTCCGTACCAAAGCGGAGTATGACTTGGTCGTCGCCCACCTGAGGACTTCCAAGGTGGAATTCTTCACCCACGACATTCCCGGTGAGAAACCATTCAAGGTCGTCATCAGGGGCCTACCAAACTTCGACCCGAAGTTTATCGAAGCTGAAATCAGGGACCGGTACAAGCTGGCCCCAAGTGCCGTCTATCGGATGACAAGGAGAGACGAGAATGTGAAGGCGTATCCGGATAGCCTTTTCCTGGTACACTTCCAGAAGGGAACGGTGACACTCAACGCGCTGAAAGCCATCCGCTCCATCAATTGCATCATCGTCCGCTGGGAGCCATACCGTGGCGGCCATCGCGATGTGACTCAGTGCCAACGGTGTCTGAACTTTGGACACGGCACCCGCAACTGTAACATTAAGCCACGCTGCGGCAATTGTGCTCAAGACCACGCCACTTCCGACTGCCCTGCGGATGAAGCCGTGGCGTTAAAATGCGCCAACTGTGGTGGTGCTCACCAAGGTTCCGACAGACAGTGCTCCAAACGCGAGGACTTCAAACGCATCCGAAAACAGGCAGCAGCTAACAACCAACCAGGACGCAAGAAGGACAAAGTCCCGGCATTTCGGACGGAGGATTTCCCGCCTCTTCGTGCTCCTCAGCAAAGGCAAGCGAATTCGCGGGTGCATTCCGCTCAAGCAACTTCTGGTGATTCTGCTGGCCAAAGCTCTCCATTCCCCCCTGGATTCTGGAGACAACCACCAGCGCAAAACAACAACCCCGATCTGTTTTCAGCGGATGAACTGATGGAAATTTTCGTCAACATGACCGGTGCTCTACGTAAGTGCCGCAATAAGCCCGAACAGATCCAAGTGCTCGGTAAGTTCATCATCCAGTATGGTGTCTAAACCGCTAACCATCGCTACTTGGAACGCTTGCTCTGTAAGAGCAAAACAGATTGAGCTTGCCGACTTCCTCCGCAAGCATAGCATCGACGTGGTTCTTCTAACCGAGACCCACCTAAAGTCCGGTGACAGCTTCTGGTTGCCTGACCACTACATTATGCGGCTTGATCGCACCAGCTCCAGGGGGGGTGGTGTAGCGGTCATCGTCAGAAAGGGATTCAAGTTTTGCACTCTGCCCCACATCCGCACTTCTATCATCGAGGCCATTAGTGTGGAGGTGGAATCACCAACTGGAAACGTCCGGTTCATCGCTGTTTACTGCCCACGCCAGTGTACCGCAAGCAACGGATTAGGAATCCAATTCAAGAAGGACCTGACCGCCATCACCCGTACTAGCTCCCGATTCATCGTTGGGGGCGACCTGAACGCCCGCCATGAAGCTTGGAGGAACTACCAGAGGAACCGGAACGGATGTCTATTGTTCGACCACGCACAACATGGTCTGTACACTGTGCAATTTCCGGACGAACCAACTTTCATCTCTCCGGCGGGAAATCCCTCCACGCTGGACTTTTTCCTGTCAAACATCGGACTATCCAAGCCGGAGGCGCACAACGATCTCAGCTCCGACCACCAACCGGTGGT